AAAATAGCGATAGAACCCTGCGCGGCTTGCGATGTTTCGTCTCTGAGATCGAAAAGAATTGAAATAGCTACACAATTTATCTGAGAAGTGACATGACACGTTCGGTGGAGGAGAGGCGTATTCAACATTTGATAATTCTGCAGTAATATGCGCTTAAAGGTTTTCGGCAGTTTTGATCAACATTTCTTTTTATGGTTAGCCATAAGGAATTGTAAATTTAGGACTACATTACACTTAAATAAAATAATAACAATAATAATATTTATTAAGAATTTATTACAGGAAATATCAAGTATTACGAAAACATTGTTGACAATTATGTATTTACTAACATAACAAATAAATAAAAATAATATACATTTTGATGCCGTATTCGATTTGTTGGTAGATATTTTTTATTTTCTCCTTTGTTATGAGCAGAATTTTAGAATACTTTGGCTGCAATGCTAAGTTTCCTAAATTGAACAAACTGAAGTTATTTCGTTAACGCTTTTCCTCTCTTTTCCATTGTTGTTGTTAGATCGCTTTCTTCCAGTTATTTTGATGGGAAATAGCGAAATTTAGAATGATCTTCTTCCATTTCGAAAATAAAGCCTGTAAAAAGGAATATTTGAAATTAATATACGACCAACTATAAAATGCTTTTGGCAAACAACCTTAATGATTTCACTATAATCATGTAACCATAATGTAATGATATTCAGCAGACAAATCAACGGTTTATGTTACCTCATCTCATTGCATGATTACGAATTATAAATCTAAATTGAGCTTGAAATTGTGTATAATCGGCTCTCTTTTTTGTAAAATACTTGTTTATGAGATAATGAATAATTTGCAGTAAAAAAAGCAATTTTCAATTTTTTGTTGAATACGCACCACCTCCGCCGAACGCGGCATATAAGGCCATAGACAACTTGAAAGAATACCGTGATGACTGAATAATGTATTGATATGAATAAACTATTTGATAAAAATTATAAACTGTTATTAACTGTGTAGCAATTTCGATCTTCACCAGTACAGCGCTGAAAAAAAAAAGTTTATATTAGCAGAGAAACACGATATCTGAGCAACAATTATCAGGACTGTTACAATGGCAAAGGTTCTAAAGTACGCAGAGTAGGTCCGCTTGGCACAAATTAAATGCACACTAAATTATAAGGTTATAACGCACTTCCGTTGTTCATAGCAGGTTCCGGAAGGAAAGTGTGTAGAGTGTGGTCGTCTCACCATAGCACAGGCGTTCCATCAGTGACCATTGCATATGCAGCAGTTTTTGGCCAACGTCATATTCCCCAAGTCCGACAATCACCATATCCCCCCCCCCGTTCTCGCCACTTGCGAATATTTCCTCCTCAAAAATCAACTCCCATTTGAAAGGAACAAGATTTCAAGACATCGAGACAATCCAAGAGAACTCTTGAACCTGGTCGTTGTATTCATATGCAAATCTTCACTATATAAATTTCAGTTAATAAAGCTGGAGCCTAAACCAATCCTAACCTTGAAGACGAAACTATTAGAGACATAGTAATGAATACTTTTAACTAATCATAGTTTACAAGTGTCTGTTGAATACTATTTCCTTAGTAGTTTTGTCCTCAGGGATATGATTGGTTTAGCTTACAGCAGTATCAGCTGCTATATATATGGTGGATATTTGGATAAGAAAACAACACTGGCTTTTATTAAAGAAACGTTTCCTCTAAAAAGCGTTTTTTTTTTCGTATTAATGGGGCGGTCTAATGTCTGGTGAATACGGCGACTCGAGTAGCGAATTCTAAATTTTGTTCCTGTGTTATTCATGGTGGTTGTAGCCTTGCGTTGTCAAAAAGACAAACATGATTTCTAGTGTTGAACACAGCGTGCATTTAAACAAAACTTTTATGAATACGTTGATACTGCTGGAATTCTAAATGATTAATAACCACGACTTTCACGAGATTACCTTTCTTCCGTGTATCTCACCTTTTTGGGTTGGTTGTGGAAATCCTTGCCAATCCATTGCCTTTTACATTAAACATCGTCTTATGTTAGTTAACACGAAATTTATTAACTAGCAGCCATATCCAGATTGTCGATCAGAAAAAGGATTCAATTAGAATGGAGCAAAAACAGAATCATGTTTAGATGTAACAGAGTCTATCTTCTACAATTACTTTAAAGTACTTTCATTAAAAACATTTTGAATTAATGCACTTACTGATATAACAGAAGTAGTCTGTATTTATTCAATCGAAGTTAGTCGAGGACATCAAGGGGTAAAACAGCCAACATGAAGACCCACTTCAAACCAAAATTATTTTGGAGTTTTTGTAATTCAATTTGTCAGCGTGCTACCAGGGGAAAAGGATACATTTATAAAGCAATTGTTAAGTTTAATGAAAATTGGTTGAAAGATCAACGAAAAATAAGAAAAAAATAAGAAAAAATAAGAAAGAAACCAATTAAAATCGCAATTTGTCGCTATTTACGCGGGTTTTCACTATATGGGTAGACTCAATTATCAAGTTAAATGACTGTTAAACAATCAACTTATGTTGGCTATAAGTTTGTATCAGATTGCTTGAAAAATGAGGGAGTTTTAGTTTAAAAATTGTGTTAAAATCGATTTGCGTTGAAACTGAATTTTCGTTTTTCGCTAAACGCAGTGGCGTAGAAATAAAAATGAAGTATCGTTGAGCTCGTCGTGATGTAAGTAACCTACATACCGAGTGTGAACGAAATCGGAGGAAAAAGTTAAATTTATCCATATTTGATTGGCTTCATCGATTATTGATTTTTTTTTTAATTATCGATTTTTTACGCTAGGAACCTACCTCTTACATTGTACAATGCACTTGCCAAGTTTGCTCAAAATCGGTTGGATGTATTTCAAGTGAAAAGGTATCACACAGACGGACAGACAACCTCTGTTTTTATATGTATACATTTTTTTTTTAATTATCGATTTTTACGCTAAGAATCTATCTCTTACATTTGTATAATGTAAGAGATGGATATAATGTTTGTGCCAAGTTTGGTCAAAATCGATTGGATGGATCTCGAGTGAAAATACTGACTGACTGTCTATCTGTGTGACACTCGGTCAGACACACAGGCATCGTCTGTTTTATATAGAGAGACTGCCACATGATGAGACGTTAGAATGATACTTCCATTATTAAAAGTGGCTCTCCAAAACGGAAATTACTTATGACTCAAGCTAATCTTACTTCATGTGGGATAAAGGAACGTGCGACGTTATTTATATAGAGTTAATGGAAGATCAAGTACTGCCAATATTTGAGTAATGAAATCTGAGAGGAGTAAGCCCTACTGGATATCAGTAACGGTAGGTGCCCTGGAAGCAGTTTGGAAATGACTGACAATAACGAATAAACTTCATCTGTGAATCTTTCACGAAACAAGATACGGAATTTAAACGTTATAGCTCCGATAATTATTTCATCTGGGGGGGGATGTATATAATTTCTTGTAAATATTCTTATATATATATATATATATAAAGTTTATAGTTCTCTGCACATTCCTTTGTCTCTTTTTATTACCTGTGAATTTGCATGAATTGTTACGAGAGATGGTCGAGTGATTTCTCGTAACATTATCCACGGTTTTAAATTCAGAGTTTTCCTTCTCTTGGATGGGTTGCCACGCAAGACTAGACAGACAAGTCTACTCTGTTATTTACGTCATATCGAGTGAGTTGTGACGAACAAAATGGATCATGTCCTTTTCAGGGGCATTCGTGCTAAACTGAACACAACAGGTTAGCTCGGGATTTGAACTCGGCCCACTGACTTCACATTTAAGAGATGAATAAGTCTTTAAATTGTCATTTAATTAGATTATTTCAGATTTTTATAGAGCCCTAAATGGAAAGAAAATGATTAAATAATGAACAAGTAGGAAAAACTTTTATAAATTTGATGTTTCTTTATGTTATGAGCAAAACCAAAAATTTTGAAGTAAGCCAAGCGAAGTTTTTTCAATTTTTAAATCCTATGTTTTTTTTTGATCAATTGTGTAGATGCCATGTGCTTATTTCTCAATCATATTTTAAACTCATAGAAAGAACTGCTATAATATATTAGCACACGTGGCGCGACGAAAGAGGGTTATGGATAGTGTGATCAAAGTATTGTTACTAAAATAACATGAGTGAATGAAAGCACACATTGTTGATCACATGATATTGCATAATAAAAAAAACTTTAAACTGTTGACTATGTGACTAGTAAAAATTCCCTCATATAGTACAGAAAAGAAATATTTAGGAGAGCATTCGTAAGGCGTCCATTTGCTCTTGATTTTCGAGTACCTATCGATCTGGTATATGGTTTGAGATGCTACAATATCCACTTTCGGGTGTGGTCTGAGTATTTGAAATAAAGACCTTATTCTGTGTTCGAAACAGTTGTTTTACAATTAAGAATATATATATATAGTACAGGTTATTGTTCCGTTGGTATATAATCCGGGTGGATCCTAGTAATATTAATTATTAAAACTGATCCACATAGGTCGATGTATTTATTATAACAGAGCATATGTATTTTTCCAGCAACAAAATGTTGAGGTAATTTTTGTTTCTTTTGCTGTAATAATATATATATATATATATATATATATATATATATATATATATATACTCGTAACCACTCCATAGATGATCACCAAGAATTGCAGACACCAATTACATTATTTTACGTGCGTTCAAGTAAATTTTGGCAATTGTTTCCTCTAACGATTAGAATGTTTGATGCGATGAACAAAAACTTTCAATCAACATGAAATTATGTCTGATCGCCTACCGTATCAAGATAGTTAACAGGCTCACCTAATTCCTTGTTTACTGAGTTCGATATCTACTGAGGGACTTGTTACCGTTGCAGTGGACTGGCTTGCAAATTGTTTGATGCATGCAATTTGATACTCACTTTCTCCTACACGATTTTTGCATCCACCATAATCTTGATTCTTTTCTTTCTTTTCAGATCTCCGACTTGATCGTCTTCCCTGCCTGTCATCTTCATTCTCGTTTTTCTTTCTCTTTAGATTATCTCACGAGCTGAATCTTTATTCTCCTACGCTTCTTCCTCCATCTTTTCAGGTTTTCTTTTCAGATCCCCCGACTCCATCTTCATCCAGGATCGTCTCATTCATATCTAGTTTTTTTCCCCCTTTCATTTTCGGTAAATTATCCTCCCCTGTGAATCTATATCTTCCCATGCCCCCTCCTCTATTTTTTTTAGTTTCCTTTTCAGGTCTATATACAATATTCCACTTTTAATCTTTCTAATTGTTCTATGTTTCTATTAATTCATGATACATAGATTTTGGAAGAAGAAAAAAAAATGGAAAAAATAAGAGGTTTTGTATGTAGAATAGAATTTCCTTGAGATTAACAAGAAGTAGACTGTGCTTCAAGAGTAAATTTATCAGTAATCTTTATATAATTTATACAGTTTGGTTCCGTTTGTCGCGCCAGAAGGTTTTTCTCGTCCGAGTCCATCCTTCAAATTTATAAATCAACCATTCGCCTTTGTATGGAATACTATTGTCATATATGGTCTAGTGCCCCCACTGTTGGTCCTAAGGTCCTCGACAAAATGCAGAGACGGATATGCAATACAATTGGTCCTGATCTGGCATCTCGTCTACAGTCGTTCTCTCACAGACGTGTCGTCGCCTGCCTCTGTTTTTTCTACAAATAGTTTCACGGTAACTGCGACGACGAGCTAGTTTCCCAGACTGTATGAATTCAAACATGCTACTCGGCTGGCATCACCCCGTCCCACCCTTAACACTGTCGATGCGGTTAAATGTAGCCATCTCTTCTACTTCAATAGCATCACGTCTCGCACCTCCCGTTTGTGGAATTCCTTTCCTATCACTTGTTTTCCTGATTGCTATAATCTCCAACTATTTAAATGTAAAGTCAATCGACATCTCCAGATTCCTTGATCTATTCCCTATCCTTCTCTTCATCCTTTCCTCTATCACGCACCATTACTCTCGCTCCCATTCTCTGTAACCCCTTGCGTGCTAGTGGCATCCCGCCTTACTTGGAATGAAATGCTTAAAGAAAAAAAGAAGTTGACGTCTTTTCCCATCAAGTTTAGCATAAACGTAGCTTCCCAGTGCCTTTTCCATAAATCATCATCATCATCCCTTTGACTTTTGTAACTGTAAGGTGGATCCGAATGCAGAAGCCACACTATCTCTTTTCCCCAACGGCAGACACCAGTAATTCTGCTATAGTCATATAGTTTTTGACATTGTCCAACCAGTTTTGGCGTTGGCGTCCTCCTCTACGTCCACCATCAACGGTGCTTTGCATGATGGTCTTGCACAGGCTGTTCTGCCTTGTAACGTGTCCAAACCACGCCATTTTTCTCCGTTTGACAGTGGCGTGAAGAGGTTCCTGGTATCCCACAAAACTGTCAACCCTTTTCCGCACAAACTTATTGGTTTTTATTTCCAATAGACAATGCCAAGGAGTTTTCTCATGAATTTGTTCTCAAACGCTTGGGTCCTTCCTCCTGTATCTGTCAACAGTGTCCACGTTTCACATCCATAAAGAAGAATGGAGATTACCAGCGATTTGTGCAGTCTTTACTTGGTTTGAAAGCTGATTTTGCTCCATCATATTCTTGTTAATTTGGCCATCGATGCCATGGATTATGAAGCAAGAGAAGCAAAATATTTCTATAAATATTTTCATGTTAATTATTCGGATGAGCTTTTCGCCATGGTACCTAAACTTTATGTATTTAATGCGCAGTAATAGTTTGGCGACAAAGTCACATCAATTTACTGTCGAATTTGCTTGATGTGCTATGCTAAGTTTGGAGGCACGGTGGAGTAATGGAAAGCGGCTTGGATTGAGGAATCGGAGAGCCGAGTTCGAATTCCAGTCGAATCCATTACATTCACTTACGTGTTAATACCCTTGGGAAAGGTGTGAATCCTCTTCTTCTCCCTCCAGCTATGGGTAAATAGCAGGACAAACTGGGTTCTATAGCCTAGGATGGCAACTGGTCTAGGAGAAGGAAAACTCTGAATTTAAAACATGCGGAGGGTGAATGGAGTCTCTCTGAGCCTTGGTTGGTAATCCATTTAGTGATGGTGTCACGATAAAAACACCCTTGATAGCCCTAGCGAAGCATTAAGAGTTCAGCTATTTGACAAGATTATGAACTACACCAATCAAAGTATTAGCTATGACAGATAAGGAATACTGGAAAGGTGTAGTGAGTTCGATCTCGGCTGAGGCCGCAAGATGATGATGAAGTTTCTTTTCTTGCACTTGTCGCTTGTAGATCTCTCTTCCGGATCCATGCTTACCGGTAAAATTTGATCTTGAAAAATCCAAATGTAATGCTTATCATCATCTACTGACTTCCTGATGCTTCTATTTTTCTCACTCCTACTTTCTAATTCTTTGGCACTCAGTAACCCTTGTGTCTTAGTGGCGTTGCTGCCTTGCTTGGGGTTAATCCGATGAAAAAAAAAAAATGAAGCTAGCAGTGCTACCCAACACTGAGCGAGTAATTTTCCTTTCCTTTGCTATCAACAGATATTTCCTGGTCTGATAATTTTGCGTCTGCTATAAAATGGTATTTAGAAATTTGCATATGTTATAATAATGAATTAAGACATTTGCACATGTCATTTAATCTAATTGAAAAATTTACATATACTGTAATATGAAATTGAGAAATGTGCATATAACATAAAATGGTATTGCGAGATTTGCATATGCCATAAATTAATATTGAGAAATTTGTATATGCTATCTTATGATGTTGAGAGATTTTCATATGCCATAAAATGCTTATGAGAAATTTGCATTTGCCATGAAATGCCAGTGAGAGATCTGCATATGCCATAAAATGCTAGTCATAGATTTGCATCTGATATAAAATGCTTATTCGAGATTTGCATATGCCATGAAATGCCAGTGAGAGATTTTCTTATGCCATAAAATAGTATTGAGATATTTGCATATGTAATAATATGGAATTAAGAGATTTGCACATGCTATTAAATACTTGTTAAAGATTTGCATATGTCATAAAATGATATTCAGAAATGTGCATATGCTATAGGATGTTAGTCAGAACTTTGCATATGTAATAAAATTCAAGTGAAAGATTTTCATGTGCCGTAAAATGATATAACGTAAACTAGAATTTCACAATTAAAGTTCGATATGATTATATATTTTGGTTGCTGTTTATTTAATATACGATATACAATATTATAAATGAGAATCTTTACTAGATTTTCAAAATATATCATTAAAATAACAATATTTTTTTTATTTATCTTCGTACATTACTTACATTTCGTTTCTGTTAAGCTGTGATCTAAATGCTAAGTTGGTTACCACTTTCAGGACAGATATGACTTTATGAAATGTAATTGTAAAATTAATTAGCTAAACAATTGCTTATTTATAAAAATCACAAAGGGACATGATTTTTTTTTGTAAAAAAATGTTATTAAAGAGGGAGTATGTAAATTAGTTATTTGAAATTTAACTAATGTTTAGTTGATGTCACAGATTTGTATATGTACAGGCGGAGAGACAATCTTTATATATTAAATTATATTTCATGATTTAAAAAAATGACACAGATAAAATATTTATGCTTTAGCTTTTTTAATCAAATTCAATCCAAGCCAGGAGTAAGGCCATTAAGACACAAGGAGTTCTCATTGCCCTCTTCCTCTTCACATTATTTTCTCCACCTCTCCTCATTCAGCACTCTCCTTTTCTTCCTCTTCTCACCTCCGCCTTTCTATTATATTTAGTTTTTCTTCTTTTTCTTTTTACTATCTTCTTCTTCTCTTTACTCGTTTCTTCGCTTTCCTCTTTCTACCTATTTTCTTCTCTTTCTTCTTTCTTATTCTCTTTCTTTTGCCACTCTCTACTCTCTTCTTCTCATTCACCTCCCTCTACACTTCCTCTTCTTTTTATCCTACTACGTACTTCTTTTTCTATTTCCTCTCTCTACTCTCTCCCACTCATTCACTTCTCTCTCCCTTTCTCTTCTTTTTATTCTCCTTACTCTCTTCCTTTTCTCTTTCCTCTCTCTATTCTCATCTTCTTATTCACCTCCCTCTACTTTTATTCTCCCGACACTCTTTTTTTTCACGTGCCTCTCTCTACTCTCTTCTACTCATTCACCCTTCTCTCTCTCTTTCTCTTCTTTTATTCTCCTTACCCCTCCTTTTCTCTTTCCTCTCTCTCTCTCTCTACTCTCTTCTTATCATTCACGTACCCCATCCTGTTCTCTTCTTTTTATTTTCAAGACACTCTTTCTTTTCTCTTTCCACCCTTTCTTTCATCTAATCTCATCTCCTCCTTCACCTCTCTCCTCTTCGTTTTCTCATTCTCACTACAGTCTTCCTTTTCTCTTTCCTCTCTCCCCTTTTTTCTTCTCATTCATCTCTCTCCCCCTTCCTTTTCTTTTCCCGTTAGCTTCTCAACGGGTTTGATTTTACCATAGACTAGCTGACATCCAAGTCTATTCTGTTATTGTTAGGGGACCTTACCCATAATAACATAATGGACTATTCCATACATAATAAATACTGCGCCACAAGAGGAAGCAGGCAGTTCAGTCTGAAGTCGGGCGACCGGCTGACCGGCTGATCGATTAAACTCTCTGCCTTCGGGTAGGGAGGAACCCGAACGAGGCTACGCCAAAAGGCGGAGTTTCTTTCGGGGAGGTAAACCGACCCTGAACCCGTTTAATACGGGTTCAAAGGGCATATTTTTGGCCGAGCCAACTGGCTCGGAAATCCCACGTTAAACCGGCCTTGTGCCACATGATGCCCTCCTTTTGACTAAATAATGTTCAGTCTGAAGTCTGGAGTGAATTCCGTCAGGAGTCTGTCAGTCAGTCAGAGCGAGCGAGTCAGTCAGTCGAGTCAGAGGCAGTCCGAAACAGAGTCGCGTTCAGACAATTACTACTAAACCTGATTGTTCGTACTAACACTTTCTACTTCTCTGTATATATTCCTGTTTGTAATATATCTGTGTTATTCCATATACGTGTTCGAGTTCTTCTTTATTGGTTCTATCTTAGACCATTACCGTGGTACAAGGAACCGGACCATAACAATTATTTAACCCATAGCTGAGGAGAAAAGTAATGAAATGTTTTCGGCTTGCGGACTTCACTTTTTCCACAATACCATATTTATGAATACAGAATATGTTAAAATACCTTTCTACAAGAAGAAACAGATTTAGTAAATATTCTACGCATAAAATTATTGTCTTATTATTAGTGTAATATTTACTGATTTTTAAATATATAAACAGTTATGAAATTTTCGTCATCGAAATTTCTCCCAGAATTTCGAAATCTTTCGTGTGTAAATGGGGTGTTTGTTAGTTTGACGTCAGAAGTTGCCATCAGTTCGAACTTTGATCTTTCTTTCTTTGATGTCTTGCCCAGGATCAAACGTTTGCTAATTCAATAGAAAGTCCATCCTGGGGGTGTTAAATCTAAACTTCTCTACCAACCGCCAAACACACGGATTCAGTTGCGTTGGCCCTGGAGCTGGAGGAACGGATGTCAGTCAGGCAGATCGCATCAACATTCACATGGTACAGAAGGACGCATGAAGACAAGTTTGGGAAAATGTCGAAATCCACGAAAGGTACAAGAGCATTTAAAATGTGGTTACGATTATCAAGACACAGAGCCGCGCCCGAGACGAACTGACAGACGCCTGTACATAAATAGGCACCTACAGGTACGCATACACACACAGACACAAAGATAGAGGCCTCCACGATAAAAAGCACAAAAGCCCATCCAAGCCTATATACACTATTCAGTATATATGCGCACCCATGGCTATGTATGGGAATATACACACAAAGAAAGAATGAATGATTGAATGAATAAGAAAGAAAGAAAGAAAGAAAGAAAGAAAGAAAGGGAGAAAAATAGATGAAACTAGGTCGTCAAAGAAAGAAACAAACAAAAAAGAAAGAAAGACAGAAAGGAAGAGAAGAAAATATGCAAAGAAAGAAAGAATGAGTTGAAAATAGGCAATGAAAGAAAGAAAGAAAGAAAGAAAGAAAGAAAGAAAGAAAGAAAGAGGGCAAGAAAGAAAGAAAGAAAGAAAGAAAGAAAGAATGAAAGAAAGAATGAAAGAAGTGGAAGTCTGGAAGAAAGAAAGAAAGAAAGAAAGAAAGAAAGAAAGAAAGAATAGTTTAAAAGTAGGCAGTGAAAGAAAGAAAGAAAGAAAGAAAGAAAGAAATCAATGAAAATAGCCCGTGAAAGAAAGAAGACATAGTCGAAACTTTATTTATCAAGAACAAAAGAGATGAAAATAGATTGTGAAACAAATAATGAAATAAAGAAAATAAAAAAAAGAATAATTCCATCACTGAAAGAAAGAAAGAATAAAAATTAAAGAAACGAACAAGTATAAACTGAAATCAAAAAAGAAAGATGATATGTAAACCAAAGAAAATAAAAGAATAGTTCTTAGAACCCAGAATATAGCGCTACTTGATACTCAACAGTCCAAATTCTAGAATGATAACAGACTCGCCATTTTTATTCACAAAATCATTGTGTAAGTGCTTGGAATGCCATAAGTGCATATCAGTTGTGATCATCGATCATGGCTATCAATAAAATTGTTGATCGATGTATAAAGTCAATTATGATCTCTCAATCAGTGCGCTCTTACGTTGAGTAAATTGGATCAATTTCGCTGAAAGATTGGTATCAATGGCCGGTCTGTTGGATATTTGGCAAAATCGTTTGCGGGAAAGGGAAGGAAGAATTCTTGAGAAGAATTCTTTGGGAAATTAGCAATTCAAGCAACAAGGAAAGAGGGGGAAAAAGAGAAAGGAGAAGAGAAAAATAAAAAGAAAGAATCAAGAAAGAGAAAAAAAAAAGTAGACGAGAATACCATTTACTGTTGGTCCTTTCATATTGGTTGCTATGCAGAAATATGATTTTCAAATAAAACATAAGTTTATTAGATTGTACGTGACATCTTCGTTAAATTTAATACCAAATCAACACTAATTTAGTCAGAATATTAATTTTCCCCAATTGGCAACGTAAGAAATAAACCTTGACAGAAATGACAAGTTTCCAATGAATTTATCATAAAGAAATAAGAATACAATGAATAAATTTTGCAAATATTTCAGATTTTCCTGGAAGATTGACTATGATTTAGGTGTTTACTTCACAGAAAAGGCGCGAGTGCCATTAAGATGCAAGGGGTTAAAGGGAGTGAGGGCAAGAGTAAAGAGGGTTGTTTGATACAGAGGACGGGGATCGGGGTCAAGGCATCTGAAGGTGTCGATTTGCATTACATTTAAATAATTGAAGATTATAGCTATCAGAGAAGCGAGTAAGAGGAAGGGAGTTCCACTGTCGGGAAGTGCGAGAGAAGCAGCTGTAGGGGTAGAACAGGCGATTATATATAACTGTTTCGACAGTGAAAGGATGGGACCGAGATGCCAAACCAGTAGCACGCTTAAATTCATGCAGTTAGGAGAACCTGTGAAAATAGCTTGTTAGAGTAGTTGCCATGAAAATATTTGTAGAAAAGACAGAGGAAAGCCACAGCACGTCTGTGAGAAAGTAACTGCTCAGGAACTATCACATTGCATACCCGTCTCTGGATTTTGTATACATGCACACACACACACACACACACACACACACACACACACACATATATATATATATATATATATATATATATATATATATATATATATATATATATATTGGTGAGATGGAAAAATTACTAGGAAGAGGAAAAATGTCAAAGTTATGTCCTGACCCCCCAAAAGAAGAGGTATTAAGCAAAATTTCATGGGAAATCGCATATGTGGACTGACTATATCTGTAGATATATATATAGTGAGCAAAGGATATACCTGGGACTTGTTTCGGCAATGAGTTGGAGATTCATCTCCAGCAAAGCTAGTCGAAATCTCTGCCCGAAGGCAAAAAGGAACCCAGACGAGACTACGCCGAAGGGCAGAGTCTCGTCTGGGGTAGTAGACAGCTACCCGACCCAGTTTTTTACGGTGTCTACGGGGAATTTTTGCCCGAACGCACGGGGTCGCTTTTAAACCCCCATTAAAAACGACCTTGTGCCACATCCTACTTCGCGGATAAGTAAAATAAATAACCTTGCATATGGAATTATTAGCTTGCTAACCGATTCCCTGTCTTTCAGTAGTGTATTCTCTTTTACAATAAATCTCTCTTTCATCTATGCCTGTGTTGCTGTTCCGTTCAGTCGAGTACCACCTTTTTCTGTTTGTAACCTACTTTAAGGATACAGCACACACACACACACACACACACACACACACACACACACACATATATATATATATATATGCATAAATGTTTTATTAAAGACGACTGACAAGGTACTCCTTTTAAGCTTTTTTATTTAATTTTCTTGTATTCGTACAAGTGTTTTCATTTCTGCACACAAAGTGTGTAAAAACTGTCCAATATTATCTATAACAAAATACTTTAAAACAGCTAACCTTATCATCAACAGTAATAAAACAACTGCAAAATCAAGATTTACAGAGAACCAATATTATTTACGAGTTCAAATACTCGCTTAAAGAATTGTGTTCCTGATCAAATCAAATACATAAATAATTATATTGCTCATATCACAAAATGCCTATCAAAGCGACTCATGTTACTCCGATCCGACCGTCATAGATTGTGTGTTTATAAACAGTAATTTGAACTTTGCTAACCAGAGGCTTCTTTGTCAGATAATGACGGATTCTGTATTGGATAAAGGTTTGATTTCTGTCGGAGAATTCATATCTTCTACGAAAGTTCTCGAACATTCAGGCCGGTAAATGTAATTAATATTCTTCAATTAAAAACAGTGTATTGACTTAAATAAATTGTATCTATAAAAATAACGTATAAACAGAAAATATATTTAATAATTGTTAGACTTAATCCATTTCAATAATATGTTGTCATTGTTTACGTTAAGATACATTCTGTGAGCAAATATGACGAAAGATCGTCGAAGATGTGTTGTTTAAAAACATTAATTTAGACATTGCTAACCAGACACTTCTCTATAGCTGGGTGGTATAGCACGTCAGATCAATATTTGGAATACTTAAAATCAAAAACATTGGAACACGGAATAAAATCGGCTGACTTGTTACGTAAATCAAACAATCCAGCAACACGTGTCACCTTTTCGCTATCGCAGTCGCCTTTTTAAAACCTCTAACATCCTGTAGGTGTCTATTTTCACTAAGAAAAATGTTAGACCTGCCAATGCAAGATGAATTTGAATTTCTTGAGTGCGTAGTCATATGCTTCTATAGCAACACCTCAAAAAAAGTTTACTCACATAGTGAGCCAGGCAACTGCGATTTCAAATATATAAAACTAATATATAAATCACAATATTTTGAGGAGATTCCATATAAATTAAAAGGTGAAGTAATATTTAT